ATGGGAATATGGGCAGTACCTGGATGATCCTTATACAACCTTTGATCCAGACGACGTTTGTAAAGCGGTTGCTGAATATCTTACCAGCAGAAGCGAAGTGCCCCCAGTATTAGAACGGACGGCACCTGCTGAATACACATCCTGCATAAGCGAAGAGCGTGCAGAATTGGAATGGACGGCACCCTTAGAGGACAGCGATGCTTGCAGTTTACGTGGAGTCTCTCAGAACGAGAGGAATCCAGCCTTTGAATCTCTTTCTGTTGAGGTGTTGGAAGATATGAGTTACTCCCCTAGCATTTTTACTTACACATCTGCAAGTTTGGTTTTGGTCATTTTAATCTTTTGCAGTTTATTCGCGGACTATTGTCTTAAATGTTGAGATTCTAAAAAATTAACAGAACCAAACAGCGCACTTGTGTCTTGGCAGTGTCGCAAGCCTTGTTATGTACTTCTGATTTGTTACACACCTGCTCAATGTTCCGGCCAGCATTCAGTGCGGTTGGGAGTTTCATGACGGTATGAACCCGGTGCACTTACTCAAATCCCTATACTGATTTCTGTGTGAAGTGTTCTTGATGATTTAGAGTCTAACGCGCTTGAATTACATAATCAAACATCATATTCTTATATGAAAAATAAAATTTAAATTACATATTGAGATAAAATATTATTTTCTTTTGAATATAATTTTTTTTATATCAAGGAAAAAGCTAATATTGTCAATATATTTTGTAGTAACATTACTCTCGTTAGCATTAGAAGGAAACACTTGGGAAGAATTAAGTCTACAGAAATAATCGTTATAATCAATTCAAACGGCGAAAAAAAGTGTTCTTAACTTTTAAGTAAATTAGATCTAATCGTAAGTTATCATAATTACAGCACTATATTTCTTAGGAGAATTAGTGCGCGGCCAACGATAGTTCATTAATTTGAAATTCCTGCACAATGGACGCCGCACTTCCCTTGGCGATTTCATTTTGAAAAACGTGAAGATGGGGAAGCGGTTCAAAGTCCGAAGCCTATCGTTTGCACTCCCCGTGATAATCTACCCTCCTGATGAATGCAGAAAGCAGTACAGATTTCTGTAACAGTTAATTAGTAAGAAGGCGTGACGCATCCGTGTATCTGGAAGTTGTCCAGGCAGTCATGAATTCTGAGTCATGATTGATAGATCTCTTAGAAGAATCTCAAACTCTGGAGAGCCCGAGAGAAATGTCAAATTTTTGTTTTCTATATCTGAACTCAATGATTTTGATTACGTATTCTAATTATCACGCTTGGAGATAGCCTATTGATCGTGCTAACGTTGCGTTTGATGATTCGATGTGGATTAGAAGTCAAGTAGCTTGTGGCTGAAGAGTATGCGACTCGCTAACAGGTTCAGTGATATTGTGTTATTCTCTTGGTGTCTGCAAATAGCCGACCATTGCGTTGCTCTTCCTATATCTTGGTACCGTCGCGGACTAAGAACACGTCCAGCTTTTAGTACCAACGCCGTCTTGATGGATTTAGCCATATGACCTTTTGTGAAGTTTTGCGTGGCTTTGATTTGCTGGTGCAGAAAATGCTCAATCAGTCACTAAAGAATTCCCACGTCGTCAATGACTGAACCGTTTATTTTCGTTTCGACAACATAGTTCGGATCTGTGACAGTTTCCTCCAAATACACAAACTTCGGAGTACAAAAATTTTACGACGGGTGAATGCATTAATATATGAAAAAGAAGTTAGTATAGTAATTTTGTGAAGTGGTTGTGCATTAATCTTTTCAATAAAATTAAATAATATCCCGTTTATATATCTATAAAGTAATTCACTTTAATAAGGATTTTATTGTACGAATAATTCAACTGAAATATTGAAAATATTTAGGAGTATATAAATTTAATTTTAGATTTCAAAATTTATAATGAATAATTTTTTTAAATAATAAAATTAATTATTTTATAATTAATCTTAAAATAAAGAAGAATAATTTCAAATAAAAAGAAATTTTTTCAATTGAAATAATTTAAAAATTCAATAATATTATATATGATTTCTTATGTTTAAATTTTCATTATTGTATATGCAGTGTAGTTTTAATTAATAGTCATTTTAATATTACTGTGATATATATCATATAAATTTTGAAGATCTAAAAATTTAAAAATATCGAAATAAATTGATAGTAATAAAATTTTTATTTTAGAATCAAAAAATATTATAGATAATAAATGCTATGGAAAAATGATTATCTGATTGTTACAAAAATATTGAAAAGAAATATAATAAATATATGATAAGAGTCTAATGTCAATATTAATGTTCAGATTGAATATTATTTTTATTGTTTCATGAATCTATTGAATCCAATCTTAGATAAGAGTGATGCATAAAAGAAGTGAGTAGAATAATAAAATATTTCAAATGGAATTTATTGTTTACTCTAATGATAATCATATCAATTTATTCATCAACAAATTTTATTTAGTGTTTTTCATAACAGCTTGGAAAGAAACAAAATTAACGGTTTTGCATGAAGATGTTCGATAAAATAAATAAATAAAAGTATTGAATGATAATTTTAAAATCACATAAGTGTATATCAGTGTCAAATAAGGTATTTTCAAACAAAAATTCAATTATATGTATCTTATATCTCTTTATTGTATTTATTATAAGGAGCATATTTTTCATAAAAATAGAAAAAACTTAGATTATTAAAAAAATATATTTTTGTAAGATATACTATTGAATTAAAATCATCTAGTATAGAATCAAAATAGATTATTGACTTTTGAAAAATTTTAATATTCTAAAGTCACAAATAATGTATAAGAAAATTATTAGAGTGAAGTAAAGGAGCTCTAACAAGGTCACAATGATTCACATGTTTGAATTCTTTAGAGTTTCAAAAAGATAGACATGTCTTCATGGGCTTATAATGAAAGTAAATTAAATTGATAGAGGAGTTTACATGTTATTTTGTGAAAGTATCAAATTACTTAAAAAACATGATTTTCTCCTTTTTCACTATTGTACATAGTGTTAAATAAATATTTTCAATTGAGTTTCATTTGGTAACTATCAAACATTAAAAATGTTGAATTGAGCAAAAATGATCAAATCAAAACTTCAATAACTATTGAAGTTTTGAGTGCGTACATATGACGCGAGCTTAGTAATTACATAAGAATTATTATAACAAATGACTTCAGAAAAAAAAATTGAGTGGATAATATTTTATAATTTTATTGAATAAAAGAGTTTTAGAAATAAGTTATTTCCTAATTATCAAAAAGTGTGGAAAGTTTTTTATTGAATTTGATATTTATATTTAGCATTTTTACAATTTGAAACCGTTTTTCATCAATGATTATATTTTTTTATTTGAAGTATAGAGTGAAATTTTAATCTTGAATTCAATGTAAATCCAATTATTGTATTTAAAAAATAAAATTTGATTATATGCAAATTGTTCTATTATCTTTGATTTCTTTTAATGATACATTTGTTTCGTAAGTTATGATTAAATTGGAAAAATAATTAAAATAATTCTTGATGTAATGAATGAATGAATAATTAATAATTAAAATAATTCTTAATGAATGATGAAAAATATATTTTTTTTGTTAAATGTGAATCAATGTTCACATTTCATTATATGGCTATTTTGATTTTTTTGGACTTGATTAATATTTGATTTATTGATTTGATAAAGAGAATTAAATCTAGATGTAAGATTCATGTGGTATATCAAAGTCAATTTGAAAATCAACTTTGATATTCTAAATGATTCAAATGTATCAATTCCATGTTATCATATAACCATTATCATCGGGAGTTGTTATAAATAGAAAAGAAAAATTTTATTTTTTGCATAAAAATAACTTTTATAATTTTATCAAATATTTTTTGATTAAATATAACAAAACACACAAAATTTAAAAGCTACAATAATTTCTTCATTATATATTAAACTTATAACATAAAAAAATTATAAAGTTGTTGCTTTCAGATACTAAAATAAAATTTTTACTTATAAAAATAGAAAAGTAACTTTTAAACATTATTTTGAGAATAAATTCTTGAACATTCATTTTTTTTGAGATTTTTTAGATACAAGAGTTTTCACAAGAATGCAATATGAAAATTAAATATAAATAGTTGGTGTAACATGACTATGGTTATTCAGATTAGAAGTAGAATTGTAAATATATGATGAGTTTCCAAAATACTATTGAAGTTAAACATAGAGCTAACAATATTAGATGATGAAGTTGGAATTTTTTGAGTTGTGAAGATTTCAAAAGTTTACATTTAATTTTATTTTAGAATTCTTTATCTGGTTAATTAAAGAATATGAAGAATTAAGAATTGACCAATTGAGAGGCTTGTATTAGTTCAAACTGATGATTGGGGAAAGACTTCGACACACATTTATTAGTAAACATCTTTTGCAATCTTTCTCCAATCAATTGTAGTTAACAAGTATTTGATAATTGATTATAATTATCCATGGGATGATAAAGATAAATTATTCAATATCATGTGAAAACTTCGATTGATGATGATTTCTTGAAGGAAACGTGAAGAAATAAAAAATATGTCCATTTAATCTGGCATATTTTGACAAAACCTTTTGCATGGGCTGGTCGTGCTTTGGTATGGTCAGGGGAAGCTTACTTATCTTATAGTTTAGATACTATTGCTGTTTTTGGTTTTATTGCTTGTTGTTTTGTTTGGTTCAATAATACAGCTTATCTGAGTGAATTTTATGGTCCTACGGGTCCATAAGCATCTCAAGCTTTTACTTTTTAGTTAGAGATCAACGTCTTGGAGCTAATGTAGGTTCAGTAGCCCAAACTAAATGACGAAATAAAAACATCCATGCCCAAACAGACAGAGTATTCATACCAAAAGGATTATATCCATTAATCAATTGTGAAGAATTTAACCATAAATAATCTCTTAACCAGCCCATTAAATATATGGAAGATTCATTAAATTGTGCTTATTATAGGGAGAGTGGCCGAGTGGTTAAAAGCTACGGACCGAAGGTTTTCTAGGTAGGTTCGAATCCTGCCTCTCCCATTTGGATCAGGAACTATGGGCTATAATTTAAGAGATTTATCAACATTGACAAATGAATTTTTATTAATAAGTATTATAAAAAATAGATCATTTATTGACACTGATACTTTAAAATTATCTTTTCATAAAAAAATTCTCTAACCAATTGAACTACAATCCCATTATATAAATGCATTTTTTTTATATTGTCAAAAATATTTGACATAATAAACGGCAAATTTGTTCTATAATTAATTTTGGGTCGAGCTGGATTTGAATCAGTGTGCATTGCCATCGGATTTACAGTCCGTCCCCATTAACCACTCGAGATAGAAAAATCTTTTTCTATCTGGAAAAAAGTATAAAGTATTTATTAATTAGTTTAAAAACTTTTTTATGACCCCCAGGGGAATTTGAATCCCCGTCGCCTCCTTGACCCGGTCTGTTTTTTATGAATTAAGTTTATTATTTTCATCGAGTGATCGTCCCGCACGATAAAAAGCACAAGTCCATTTCTGTGCAAAGGCATTGCACTCATTCGGCAACGAGCACAACCCTTGGTTTGTGTTGCTAAGACATGCTTTGGTTCAATCCTTGGCCACTGGAGACTGACGAAGACTACGCCGTGAAAATGGAGGATACCGACGAGCTTATCTTTGGTTAGCTTTCCGACGGGCATTTTAGTATTAGACCCGGCGGCAGCCCGCAGGGCTCTCGGGAATCCGCATGCTAACCCTAGGTACCAAGAGGCAGATGAGGAATGGGAATTCTTAGTCTCGGCTTTTGTTGTTTAAGGTGATCCCCCTTATTTATCTATACGGACCCTGCAAGCCTGCTGTAGCCCTTCCCGGCCTTATTGTAAGAATCCTGGACCTTTTCGTAAACACGCCGGGCGACCTTACCTTCCGACTTCCCTATTTTGGCGTCCTATTCAACTATAACTTTCTCCGGCCCGCGCTGAACTTTGTGGATCTGGAAAGTGCTTACGTACCTTCGGACCCTTCGTACCCCCAAAGTGCGTAGCACCTCTCCCTATAGTCTCGCGTCCCTTGGACCATGGGGTTCGGATTGAGGCCCGCCCCACAAGCCTTAAGGTGCGGAGCAGCCAAGCCTATGTATTGGCTTCGCCCTGCCCTCCCGGAAATTAGGTACGATATCATATTTGCGTAAAGGCCATCCTAGCCAACGATCAGGCATTAAACTACCTTTAAGACATGGGGGATTTTCATAAAAAATTCCAAACATATCGTACGATTCACGTTCTTGAAAATCTGCACTTTTCTAGACCCAAAAAATAGATGGAATTTTTGGATTTTTTCGTAATAGAAATTTTTTTATGCATATTTCTTCAGATTGATAGGCATTATCGGTTATTTTTGTAAAATGATATACACGGTAATTAAAGGCCCCTTGACAAAAATAAAAAACTCATCCAAAGATAACATCGAAATAAATCCGTGGACCGTAGCCGACACGACTAAATCCCTATGAATTGAAATCCCATAAAAAATGGAACCTAAAACTCCTCTATCCCGTAACTAGACTAGAGATGTAAGGGTCTGTAAGTTTACCTCCTTTCCCTTTATACGTGACCCCCGACCTGGTATCGAAATAATCCTTTACACGTCCAGCAAGTACAGGTTGCAGTGGGAGCCGAAACCCTTAGTCGATCGTAAGCTTTGGACGCTCTGCAAGAATCACTCAATATACTAAGACATAGTACTCATGGAAACAGGGTAACGGACCAGCCCTGATGTCTGAGAATTATCGGAACACCGATTCGGCAAGCATAAGGGAAGTGGCTGGGCAGTGGATTCGAGAGGCTAAATCCCTTGGAAACCTTAGGGTCGAACAAGAAGTTAGACAAGCCCTGAAAAAAGTCAAATTCACACCAAAGAAAGTAATCCAAAAATGAATTTGACCTAAAGTCTTTTTCAAGAGTCCCCCCAAAATTATGAGAACTATTTAACGGAGTGGAATAGGTAATTCTATTTTGATAGTTTGACTGGGTATCGTCTGTCGACGCTTCGGACATATCCGTTAATCCCAGAGGATCCAATTTAGATATGGGTCCCAAAGGGACAGCTTGCTCCATAACCGAATTGGACGAGTCGCCTTACTTGCCTACTTGGGGGGGGCTACACTGGATTTACACCAAGGTTGAGTTGAGGGCATATTCATCGCCCAGTTCTTTCGCATGTGCAATCGGGTTCCCCGTCCCGAACCGATGACAGAAGCTTGTGTTCAATTTCAAATTCGATATTATATGTTTGCTTTAGTTTTTTTAATTTTTGATGTAGAAACAGTCTTTCTTTATCCTTGGGCTATGATTTTTTATAATTTTGGTTTATCATCTTTTATTAAAGCTTTAATTTTAATTTAGGTTTAGTATATGCATGGCGAAAAGGAGCACTAGAATGGTCTTAAATTTCAAATTTTTTACTTGTGAAAATAGTTTAGAAGATAAATCTTCTACTATGCTTAGAAATTCTATTGAGTCTTCTTTTTTTAACAAAACTCTTACAAATTCAATTATTTTAACAACTTTTAATGATTTTTCTAATTGGGCTAGACTTTCTAGTCTATGGCCACTCCTTTATGGTACAAGTTGTTGTTTTATTGAATTTGCATCATTAATTGGTTCACGATTCGATTTTGATTGTTATGGTTTAGTACCTAGATCCAGCCCTAGACAAGCAGATTTGATAATAACAGCGGCTAATATGTTAGTTAATCGTATTTTAAAAAATGGAAAAAAATCATTAGCTTATCGGATTCTTTATAAAGCTATGAAAAATATACAGCAAAAAAATAAAAAAAATGCATTATGCGTATTACGTCAAGCAGTTCGAAAAGTAACTACTAACGTAACAGTCAAACCAAGAGCATCGGTGGATCCACTTATCAAGTTTCACTAGAAATTAAATCTACACAAGGAAAGGCATTAGCCATTTGGCTATTAGGAGCCTCACGGAAACGCTCAGGTCAAAATATGGCTTTTAAATTTAGTTATGAATTAATTGACGCAGCCAGAGATAATGGAATTGCTATTTGTAAAAAAGAAGAAACTCATAAAATGGCAAAAGCTAATAGAGCTTTCGCTCATTTTCGTTAAATAAAAACGTATAAATTATAAAAAAACATCCGTTACCCTGTTCCCATGAGTACTCATGTCTTGTTGAGTGATTCTTGCACGGCAGTAGTCTTTAGAGGATTCTTATATAGTTGGGAAATTCCAATGATTACTGGAAGACCCAACGGCGGGAGTTCGAGTCCCTCCTTGACGGCAGTAGTCATCAGAGGATTCTTTCATAGTTATGAAGTTCGAGTCCCTCCTTGGCGGCAATAGTCTTCAGAGGGTTCTTACATACTTAGTAAGTTCCAATGATTATTGGAAGACCCAAGGTGGGGCTTTTGGTTTTGTTTTAAGCAGGTCTTTTACTTAAAATTATTAAAAATAATATATTATCTATTTTTTTATAGTATATTTAATATTAATCAAATAACTTTTTGTTTCAAGTTTAAAAAAAAAAAATTATTTATTTTTTATATATAATATATTTAATATTAATCAAATGATTTTTTGTTTCAAGTTTCGAAAAATAGGATAATACTTTTGGTATTTTTTTTTTAAAATAGATTTTTTATTTAAAATTATTTTTATTTTTTATTTATTATTAAATATAATATATTATTTATTTTTTATGTATAATATATTTAATATTAATCAAACAACTTTTCGTTTCAAGTTTAAAAAACAGATAGAAAATTAAAATTATTATCTTGTTCATTAAAACGAAAAATAGAATAATATTTTTTTAAGTAGATTTTTTACTCAAAATTACTAAAAATAATATATTATCTATTCTTTATGTATAGTACATTTAATATTAATCAAATAACTTTTTGTTTCAAGTTTAAAAAAATAGATAAAAAATTAAAATTATTATCTTATTCATTAAAACGAAAAATAGAATAATATTGATATTTTTTTAAGTAGATCTTTTACTCAAAATTATTAAAAATAATATATTATCTATTCTTTATGTATAGTACATTTAATATTAATCAAATAACTTTTTGTTTCAAATTTAAAAAAACAGATAAAAAATTAAAATTATTATCTTATTCATTAAAACGAAAAATAATCTATTAATTTTAATTTTTTATCTATTTTAAATTTATCAATTTTTTAAAAATGAATCTACTATACAATATATAAAATACTATTTGGTAATAATTAAATTTGAATTATTATATATAATTTTATTTTGAAATTAAAACTTTTTCCGCCGGCTCATATGACAAAGAGCAAATACAGGCCTAGGCAACCTGTGTTGCCGAAAGCTTTTGGTTCCAGAGTTCCCTATAGCAGGGGTTTTGTCACCCACGATACAAGTCAGCACCGGGTGTCGGCATATGTTACCTATTTAACCTGTGACAGGTCAGCCCTCGTCTTTTGTATCGTCTTCTGCCCACTGGAGGGTATCTAATCTTACCACCAAACCTCCTGAAAAGGAGCCCGTTGTGTTTACCTTGTTGACATGTTGACTCTATTACAAGATTTCACGATGTGGTAAATATTATGACCGTTGTTTGGTGAGAATAAAGAGTTAACACTAAGGATTTAACGTTCTAATTCTTCTGACTCCTTTTTTGAGTCAAATTGTGTGCCGATATGATACTAATTGATAAACAGCGGACACTTATTGATCAATTAACTGACCCTCAGCCATGGGATCCCAAGGTGGATGTGTCCGACTATGTGCGGAATGGGATTGATGCCCTTGTGGACCTTTGGATCTCGTCTTTTCGAAGGCGTGACTGGATATACCATGATCTAAGCAATTATCTAAAGAGTATGGATATATGGAGCATAGCCTACCAAAAACTGAGACCTAATCCAGGGTCAATGTTAAATGAAAAAGTTCAACAAGCATTAGCTCTCCCTAAAAAGGTGGTCCAGCCGCAGCACCTTCTAGTACGGCTATTTTGTTACGACCTCAGTCCACCTTCTAGGCT